CGTCGGGCGGTGAGGCTGGCCGGAATGCCGCCCCTGGAAATGTGCCGCCCCAAGCACGTTATTGGTTTGCTCATGCCTAGAGCCGGCCCTGCCTATGCTAATTAGCTTGAAGGATGAGGTAGCTTTTGTTTGTCTATAACTATTCATATATCAGAAATCAAATCAAACTATTCTTAAATCAGATTATGATGCCAGCTCTGCCTGTATGTTCAATATTTTAGATTCAAGCTATTACACCCACCCACCACATATTTTAACTCACTTGTGTTTACCAGGTCAACGATCCGAGACACTGAAGACTAAACAAAAACAAAAGATGAATTGCACAGAATTTTGTTCATGTTTTGTTGGTGTTTATGTTCTTTACTGCCTCTTTATATGGACAACTGCAACTTTTTTCTGCATTAGCAAGATCATGTGTGTACACTCACCAATAATGCACAGTGTGTAACATATAGAAAAACATCAAGCACACACAACTGAAAATTAGATTGGAAAAAAGCAGTTGCAAACAGAGTTTGAGATTTTTTTCATTGATTTATTAACTAACGAACTTTAATGGAAATATGAAACATCAGCATTACTTCCCATTACAAAAAGTGTCACTCAGGTCTTTCCTAATACTTTTAAGATAATTTTATTCTTCATGCTGACAGGGAGTTGTATTTAAAATTTCATCAGCCCTCAATGGTTAATTAATGCATTTCCTAATGCAATGCATTTCCTAGTATTGATGAAATTCTAAGAGCTCTCTTGAATGCTATGGAGATACTTGTTCTGCTGCTTGTGCAGGTGGAAAATAGCTCCTCATAGTTCTCTAATCTACTTCATCATGCACCTCTTCCCCCTCGAGCACCATGGAAGCAGGCAGGATTTTGTCCAGAGTTTTAACTGATAGGGAAAAGTCTAACATAGAACATATCTTTATTTCTCCCTTCTAAGGCAGAAGTCTGATAGTATATTAATACAGGTGAAGTGGACATTGTAATAGTATCCCTGAGTTAACCAGGACTGGTTTTTCTGCACAACTGTCTGTCCACATTAAGAGCAAAATTACATTTAACACTGTTAGTTCAAATGAGTTGTAGTTTGCATGTTTTCTAACATGGTACATTTTTCAAGTATACCCTAGGCTTAAACAAAAAACACAACTATGTAGCACTTTAAAGACTAACAAGATGGTTTATAAGGTGATGAGATTTCGTGGGCCAGACCCACTTCCTCAGATCAAATAGTGGAAGAAAATTGTCACAACCATATAGGGGTCTGGCCCACAAAAGCTCATCACCTAATAAACCATCTTGTTAGTCCTGTTTATTGTTTCAGCTACACCAGACTAATACGGCTACATTTCTATCACCCTAGGCTTAGGCCTAGTTAGCCCAACAATGTCTACCCCCACCAGCTGCAGGTTAGAGAGAGATCTAGCTCCCTAGCTTGTTACTGTGTGTGCTGAAGTCTTTAGCTGGGGCACAGATCTCTAATTCAAAGAGGCAACTAGGAGAAACTCTAGAACGTATTGCTAAGGCCTGAACCATGAAAGCATGCCCTGGATGGCCAGATTTCTGCACTCTCCTGGAGCATATCTCTGTTCCCATTCAGCACACCAACCAGGACTAAGTGTAGCCCAAAACAAGTGTGGCTGATTAGAAAAAGATGTTCTTGAAGTAAACACACAAGTCTTCTTACTTGTTCAAACAAGGGTACGCTCCCTTCAGCATTTTTAAGAGTAACTAACTTTACCTTTTTGTTTTAAAAGTTAATCTAATACATCAGATGTAAAGAGAAAAGTGGCAAATGGTTAATGAAAAGGCCTGATAACATAGGCACATTACACATTACAAAGGAAATACAGTACCTGTTTATTGTTTTCATTGGTACAACACAGCTTCTTGATGGACACAAAATGTCTAATTTTCCTAACAACATGAATAATTTATTGTTATTCAAATTGAATGTTTAAGACAAAAGCGATATGACATGGGTTAGATTAACAGACTATTGACCCTGTTGTCTAAAGCGGAGACTTTAGTGATCATATATAAAAACCAAAGCATAACATCACCAGATTAATTTGCTACATTTCATAACCAAGTACTGCCCTTGGATGCTCATGTCATTATTCCTGTGGTAGGTGCCTATGCACACCTGAAGGAAGGAATATGCATAATATGCATAATATTGTGCATAATGTGCAGCAATTGTGAGTACTGTACATGCAAGCATGCACATGCATGATGAAAGGAATGGGAAGACTTTACTTAGACTTAATGATCCCCATGAATTGTTTATAGTTGGTTTGGGTTTTGGAGAAGTTGTTATTCTTTTCATGAAATGTCCACCCAAACAGTGATTTGCAGTTTTCTGTATTAGTGATGTTACACTATTATAATTGCTATTTCTTGTCCCCTGCCTCCATGTTTTACATGCAATTCTTTGGGCCAAATCTGTGCTAAATTACAAAATGAGCAACTGCATTGACTTCAGTGGGGTTGCAATAGGTGTACATCACATAATTGCACCCTCTACTGATCAGCTTTGATAACTTAATATTGACTTCCAAGGCAGAACACAAAGATTTAGCAATAATTTACTGTATATTTATTCATGTCACTATAATTGAGCACATTGGGGTTTCCAGACCAAGCTCACTGGAGATATAAAATAGTTTGGTTAACACACGACACAAAATAAATTGCATCTTTGGGGTAGCTTACCCTCCCTGGCCAATCACAGGTGTTATCCTCACATGCTGTTGAATACTGTCTCCTGCTTTTCTTCTTGCATAGTAAACCCCTTGCCATTCCTAAATCAATGTAATAAAAATAATATTTCGGGTCACATTTAATCAAATATACCCATTATTATTTCTTTAAATCAATTAGCGAAGAACCTCTCAGAGCATCTCATGTTTAACATATTTTACAGAAATAATTGTGGTATGAAAGTTAGCCAAGCGTTTCTTTTCAAAAGGAGTTTATACACGATGCCTACCATTTCTCCTAGAAGTACCTACTGGTGTTTCCCTCTACTGACCTCCAACAGGGAGCATCCTGCTCCACCACTATCCTGTTTCCACTATGCCTAGAGCCCTTCAGACTAGCTAAGGGAAGGAACAGAATGTGTCAGTAACATGCCTATTGAACATTTTACAGACCAAAATTTTATTATGGATATGCTCTACCCTCTCCATACTGAAGATAAGAAAAGTTAAGCTGGTCAAAAAAGTGAAAAAAAGTTCATGAATAAAGGACTCCAACTTCCCCCCTCCTCCCAACAAACAACTGCTACCCCCACCAAAACCCAACCTAAACTGAACAGCTTTCAGAACTTGAAGTTTTTTTTTAAGTTTTATACTAATGACTGATTTATACTCTTAAATTTAAAACACAATAATTCTCCAGAAAACAATTTAATATAACAGTATTTTTAAATAACATCGGTAAAAATATTTTTAAGTGATCTCATTTTGAAATTCACTTCACTTCATTCTCAGGAGCCTCATAATTTTTAAAATCCTCTATCTAAAAAGAGTGACAACAGATTTCAAATTTCATAAATACAAACAGTAATGATAGCTCACGGATAAGACAGATTTCAACTTTTAAACAAAAACGTATTAATCATAACTCACTTTAGACTAACAAAGAAAAGTCAACAGATCAGCAGTGTTGCTAACTTTCATGATTTATTACAAGTCTTGTGATGTCTTCTGTTTTTCTTAAAGACGGAGTCATGATAACATGAGAATCTCCGCTTTAAAGTTTCTATCCTTCATGGTTACAGAGCAAGGTTGGGGAAAAAAAAAAAAGTGACCAAAAAGGCTCAAAAACAGAATGCAAATACCTATGATTATTCTTCCCCTCCCCCTAAATTTACTGTTTTAAAAATCTCACGGTCTTTTAAAAACAAGGAGAAGTCCTGTGGCACCTTATAGACTAACAGATTTATTGGAGCATAAGCTTTCATGGGCAAAGACCCACTTCATCAGTTGCATCTGACGAAGTGGGTCTTTGCCCACGAAAGCTTATGCTCCAATAAATCTGTTAGTCTATAAGGTGCCACAGGACTTTTCCTTGTTTTTTGCAGATTCAGACTAACACGGCTGCCCCTCTGATAATGGCCTTTTAAGCTAATCTCAGTTTCTTACTAGGAGAGTGGCAGTACTGGAAGCAATCAGATTTGCCAGCTACTTTTGTTCTCAGAAGCCTTCTGCTCTGCCTCCCTAAACTCCTGTTGTGATGTTCCCATACTTACTTTGCCAGCCCTGAATGGTGAGACTGGCTCATTTATTAGGCAATCCTGACCACTCCCAATCCTACTTTTTATCATCCTCCCTGCAGATCATAGGCAGCTACAGGCTCCACCAAGCACTGATATCTATGCTTCCATTTAAATCAGGGCTGGGCAAAATATGGCCCGGGATCCCACCAACCCATGGGATCTGGCCTGTGGACCACCCTGCTGAGACCCTCAGGCACATAGCTATGGATTTAAAGCATAGCCCAGCAGCTCTCTGCTCTGCAGGGAGGGGAAGGCTTTATGTGATCTCCCTGCCCCCAGCCCAATCCTCAGCTCCTATTGGCTGGAAACAACTAGCCAACAGGAGCTGAGAGATTGGCCTGGGGGGATTGGGACAGTGCAAGCCTCTTCCCCATCCTGCAGCTGAGAGCCATATGGAGGGAACAGCCTGCAATTGAAAGTGATCTGGGGCTGAAGCAGGAAGGGAACCAGTTTGCCTTGGGAGTGCTGCAGGGCTGCTGGCCAAGAGACACTTAGGCAAGTTCCTCCCAGCCAGAGCCCGTGCCTCCTGCACATCTGCCCCTCCTACACTCCAACTCACTCACCCAGGTCACCACCCAAATCTTCTGCACCCCCCTGCCCCAGGTCACAACTCCCTCCCAGACCATACCCCCTCTAACTTCTCCCCCAGGCCAGAATCCTCTCCTGCACCCACACTCCCTCCCATATCCTTCACCCCAAACCCTCTGCAGTCTGCACACCTGCTTCACCTTCTCCCAGGTCACAATTCCCTCCCATACTTTGCAAGTCCTCCTACAGCCCCTTCCTCACACCACCTCCCGGCTGCCAGCCCTTCTGCAGAACCCGCAATCTGTAACCACTAAGTTTTTTATTGGATACAAGGTTACATTAGCGATGAGGAGTCCTGTGGCACCTTATAGACTAACTGAAGTGTAGGAGCATAAGCTTTCGTGGGCAAAGACCCACTTCGTCAGATGCATGTAGTGGAAATTTCCAGAGGCAGGAATAAATATGCAGGCCAGGATCAGGCTGGAGATGACCAGGTGGATCCAATCAAGGAGGATGAGGCCCACTTCTAGCAGCTGATCTGGAGGTGTGAATTCCAAGAGAATAGAAGCTGCTTTTGTAGTTAGCAAGCTTTTGTAGTTAGCAAGCCACTACAAAAGCAGCTTCTATTCTCTTGGAATTCACACCTCCAGATCAGCTGCTAGAAGTGGGCCTCATCCTCCTTGATTGGATCCACCTGGTCATCTCCAGCCTGATCCTGGCCTGCATATTTATTCCTGCCTCTGGAAATTTCCACTACATGCATCTGACGAAGTGGGTCTTTGCCCACGAAAGCTTATGCTCCTACACTTCAGTTAGTCTATAAGGTGCCACAGGACTCCTCATCGCTTCTGCAGATTCAGACTAACACGGCTACCCCTCTGATACTTTTCCTCAAGCCAGAATCCTCTCTTGCACGCACACTCCCTACCTGACCCTACACCCCCAATCACCTGACCCAGGTTACAGCCCCCTCCTTTACCCAAACTCCCTCTTAGACCTCACACCATCTACTGCACCCTAGTCCCTTATCCTGTGCAACCTTTTGCACCTAACCTCCATCCTAGAACCTGCATCTCCTCCACAGAAAAAGTACAGCACTTGACCACTTTCCAAAATCTTGGAGTGGCCCCCACCAAAAAATATCTCCCATGCCTGATTTAAATGATGATCACAATGCTCATTGACTTCAATAGGTGCAGGTTGGGTGAAGAATGAAGTGTCCATAATAAGAAATCCACAAAGTCCGTCAGTTATGCTGGCTGGGTCCGGGTAGGCCAAACTGAACAGAAGTGACTTTTGGCATCTATAGTTGAACTCTTTTGGAATATTGCACACCTGGAATGGTCTAGCAGGAAATGCTATTTTCATGTCTGGACACATGAAATGGTACAATAAAAGTTAACCCCAGATTCCTGGCTATGTGTTTGGGCACATTTATCATACTCTTGCCTTTCAATCCTAGGGCAGCTAACTAGTAAACTAGCCCCTGATATAAAGTAGAGCAACCTCCAGGCTGACAGTGTTGGCTGTCACTGGGCATCACCAGAGCACAGGTATTCCTTCTACAACAGGGACTGGGATGTGGGTGTCTGGAGCAGCAGCCTTGTACCACCAGATGATTCCCAGAGGACTAGATTCTTAGGATTGCCAGTTTCTTCATGGAGCAGAGACAAAGTTCCTGCCCTACATACGCAATTATCAGAAGAACTGAAATGTGTTACATTCAGTCCAGAAGAACATAACATGGCCATATAGAAATGGAATGTTTGGGGTAATTGTATAATTATTTACCTACCTTTCCTTTTTTGATACACATGTTGATAGTGTCTAAAAGGTCTGCACGGTTTTTATCACTTTTTGGTAGCTCAGTAAGTTCCTTTCCCATAAGCTCTCCCTTGCGATAGCCCATCATCCGTTCAAAGGCTGGGTTGACGTACTGTCGAAATAGAGGTCCTTAAATTTTAGTCCAGCATGCAAGAGAGGAAAATACTTAGAAAAGATGTACAGACATTCCAATCTATATATAAAAATGTTCTGGGATACCAACAAGTAAAATGCACTACTGAACATTATACTAATAACTCTTTGCTGTAAGAGCATATAGTGTATAGCCCAGAATATGCCTCTTACCATACCGAGGAACTTGCTGACGAGCCTAACCTTGCTCTTGCTGAAGTCAACAGGATTTTGAATAGGCCCTAGTTAATGCACAACATGTGAAGTAGCAAAAATAAGACCAGGGATTGCATGAAGAGCAAATTAGTGCACAATTTGTCCAAAGCTCTTTCATTAAAGAACAAAAACAAATCAACATCTTATTATTCAATATGCCAGAATTAGAGCTGGGTGAATTATTCACAGCAAGTAATTTAGCCATTTTCTCTGCCAATTATCCATTAATTTTTTTTAAAACTACAAATAAATGCCTATGGGTATTAAAAGATACACTAGCTTGTTTAAAAATCTTGTATTCACACAAGTTTGCATCAAAGTAAAAAGACTTTCAAGTACTGTACTTCTAGAGCAAAGATATGATTTGTATTCCAAATAATACTCTCAAATATTGACATATTTGCTCCGCATTAATGGATCTGTGAGCTAAAGACTGGTAGGATGTCCTGTGAAAACAAATTTAAGCTCTGATACAACTGGTCAAACTACGTACTGCACAATTGCTATGAATTGTGTCAGTTTTTTGGAACGTGAATTACATCACATTACAAAGTGTCCCATTTTGATTTGCAGTGTTAGTCATGGTAACAAACAACAAGCATCAAGAGAAATGGTGGATAAAGGGCCTTGCTATTCATCCTGCACATCAGTGACAGATACAGTCTGTATGAAGCCAATGTACTGGTATGTCCATCTTTATGCTTTTGATGCCAAGTATCAAAAAGGTAGCAGAAATTACAAAAATTTCATCTGAACAATGAAATAAAAGATATATAAAATACTTGACTGTCAAGGCTGTCTTACTCGGCTATGCTCTATACACTGGATACACTGTAATAGGATTTTTCAGTTTTTTCTGGCTTTGTTTGTAGAAGTCTTAAAAGCTACCCCCAGTTTTTGCATTATATCACATCTCTGATAGGGCAGTGAAGGAAAGGCTTTATAAATACAGCATAATAATATGCAAAGAAACAAACAGTCCATCATATATACTTTCATTTAGTAAAGCTTTCCAATGAAATCAAAATATAAAAATTTAGAAAAGCATAAGTAATAAAGGAGACAGTTTTTCCTCCCCACCAATCATAAGTTCTAATAAATTTTTCCATACCTGAATAACATGATCTTCACTGGTTATTTCTACAGCTTCGTGACAATGGTCTAGTGCTGTAAACACTGAATTACAAGCCCTGCAATTAGTAAATGAATCACATTAGTTTTACCGATATTACAATTGTCACTGGTAACTACAGTATGCAATTACACTTTATTTAATCAGTGGGTGATTCATGTACAAAATCTATTTTGTCAAAACTATGTAATCATCTCTATTATAATAATTGAAAATTCAGTTTTCAAACATTTCTGACATTCAAGTGTTTTTATTGTCATCCACAATATAAAAATTACCATGGATACTACCTCCTCTTAACAGTAAGTTCTCTTTGCACACACTTTGAACAACCAGGTGTGTATGGAGAGGGGTGTATTACTGTGGAAACAGTGGATGTGAAACTTTATAATGAAGTCTGCCTTCCACTCTGAGTCTCTACAGAGGGCCTGTTGAACAGTAAAATTAAAGGTTGGACAAACTTCTCTTCAGTATTTTAGAATAAGTTGAAAGTATTAAGACATTTCAGTGGCCTGACATGCAAAAGATACTCAGCATTAATGTTGAGCTGACAATCTTTTCTATGGCAGATATTCGTTACAGTCATTACAGCATTAAATATGCAAAAACCAAAACGGTGTCACTTTAGATAAGAGTTTGGTCAGGGTCAAGGTTAAGAAAGCAACATTTCAGTTTTCAGGCATGTGTATTTTGCAAACAATTTACAAATTGCCAAGGGAACGCAACAAAAGCCTTTCCTTAGTTGATCATCACTTTATAGAGGATGTCCTAGCAACCAAAACAGCTTCATTATGTGTGTATTTTTTTTTTAAATCACATAATACAGCTGATTTAGTTTGAAGTGTTGGGCCCCCTTGCTGATCTACTAGTGGCTAAAACAAATTGGAATGTTTTAATTGCTCCCATGTTATTCAGACCAACAGATTTCGTTTGAATAACTTTAATAGTGGCTCAGACCAGAAACTGACATTTTCTTTGATTTGTATGCAAGTCCTGCTGCAGTCAATGGGCCAAACCCTAGGTCCTTTGGAAGGAGATTCAATGGCAGCAGGCCCTGTAAAGTTCAATTGTGCAGAGAAGTCCCTAGCTAGGATGGCAACACTTTCCCTCCCTTACAGTGACCATAGATCCAGTCCTAGTCTTTCATGTGACTTCCCAAGTACCAGGAGGTTATTTCAGGACACCTGAAAGGTCTCAGCTTTCATTTCATCAGTCAGTGTTCCAAAAACACCAAATAAGCCTACAAATATTTGTTCAAGACATATCGCTATACCAAGATTGGTGTTTGTTTACCAGAAACAAACAAGTCCTGTGACATGAGTGTGATGAAAATCATTTGGAGTGGAGAGAAAAGTCAAACAAACATCTAACCACTTGTGACATTGGTTCCAGTTAAGCATTTCAGTGTTCAATGAGGCCTCCAGCCTTTCCATTTGGCTGACCAGGTGCCAGCTATTTGGTTCACCTTTATGTTGGCATTGTTAAAGCAGACCTCAAGTTTATACAAACGTGTTCAATATTTGAACTTTATGAAATGTGTGTAAACTGCTGCATTAATCTCAATCTCATTTTTAATATCTCTATCCCACATAAGGTAACGTTTATGCTCTGTAACTACACAGGCATTTGCTATGAAGCTGGTCTTCCCTATGGTCAGGGAGCAGCATTACCAATTATTAAATATTAGTTTACCACAAAAAGGGTCATCTCCCACCCAATAGAAGACGACCTCTTGACAAACTATTGTGGAACAATAATGGACAAGAGAGAGTGTTGATTGCTCCTTCCACCCCCAGAAAGAGGGTGTGTACAAGCCCTCATCCCATCACACTTTGAAATCTGGTGGAAGGGAATAAAAATCCCTGGCTAGAGGGTCTGCATCACTATGCTACTCGGAAGTTGGAGGGGATAACATTTCTAAGCTTAAAGGAGGGATCCCAAAGAGGGTTCTCAAGTCTGTACAGTTCAGTAGCTTCTATTTCCTTTGGAAACCTATGACTAACTCACATGAGTATGTTTACCAGCTTTGAACGTACAAATAACTCACTTTTTTCATAATAAATCTTTAGGTTTTTTATAGTATTGGCTTCAAGTGTTGTCTTTCTTGAGAAATCTTGACCAGGCCTAAGTATCTGGTCCTTCAGGACTAGGAGTAATGTTAATATTGTTGTGATTTCAGATGCAAGGACCATCACAAAAGCAGGCTTGCCTGGGTGGCCAGATAGATGGGAGTGACAGAGTGGAGGGCAATGTTCCCTCTAATTTTTACTATCCCAGGGCAGATTTTTTTCCATCCATGTGGAGAATAAATTTCATGTGCACCAAAGTATGTGTGAATATGCACCACCAGCAGAAACAACCTAGCTGTGGGCACTCTGCTAATCAGCTGGAAGTGGCCGCATGTGCGCTCAGCTTACAGGGAACACCCGTGTTGGGTGCTATAGGCTAGGGGAGAGAGGTATGTAACTCCCCAAACCACCTACCATGGCCCTTCCTCCCCACCCCGAGGCCAGCATGACTCTGGTACTAGGCCACACTGCCAGCCCAGAATCTCAGGGTATGGTGACCATGCTAACTAAGACCAGGAGGTTGGCACCCATTTTTGTGAGCAACTCTAGGCAGCCTGACCCTGTTTTTACCCAAAGCGAGAGTTAACGACACCCAGTTGGGATTGTAAGTAACTCCTTCAGAAACTATAAGTTACTGGGAAAAAACCTTCACTCTGAAAAACATGCACATCTGTCTGAGACAGAAGTTGGCATGCAGTAAAGACATCAGCATACAGCATTTATTTTTGTGTGACTATTTCAGAACTGTACTAATGTTGCCACAAAAGAGTCTTGGTTTCAGCTAGCAGCGGGCACAGAGGCTGCAGCGTTTTAAAGTGACTCCTGGGTCAGATCCTGTAAAAGTCGAGACCTTCACCACATCCTCTGGCAAGAAGTTCTACAGGTTGACTGTGTTGCATGCAGAAATGCTTCCTTTTGTGTTTTAAACTTGCTACCTCTTAATATAAGAATTAGAGATCACCAAATGAAATAACATGTAAATAACTTTTTATTTACTTTTTCATGAAGGTGGGAGCAAGGTACCCACAACCCTGAGTACTCTTCGGAAGTACCAGTTTTAACTGTAAGTTCGTTATAGGAGTAGTATTTATTAATTAGCTCAATGATACTCTGGCTCACAAGATCAGAGGTGATAGTGGAGGTGTAATTCACAGTAAATGGATGAAAACACCAACAAAGTTTCTATTTAATTAAGACTAGCTACTTTCCAAGTTATTTCTTATAAGTTGCAGGTATATTTTTAAAGTTATGCAAAGGCAAAACAGCAGTGCTGTGTGTTTGTCATAGCTTGGAAAAGTGAAACACACAAATACAAAAGGGAAGAGCCCAGCACAGTTCCTTTGAGCATTCTAGGTGAAAGGATATCAATAGATTTGGGAGATTAAGTACCTCCACAGACTAAACACATTGGCTTCAAAGATTAATGAGGACTTTAAGCTTGGCAAATGGCTTCATTTTAAATAAAACCGCAGAAAAATGTGATAAAATCAATATGGGTCATGTTCCTTGGATTTGGGAATTCAATCGCTTATATTAATTATTAATACTGATCATGAAGAGGTGCTCAGACTATAAAAGTGATCTGTCCTTCAAAGCCATAATTCTACATATTAAAGCATCCTGTTTTTGTACTCTTTAAACAAGCAGGATGTAATGATTATTGGGAAAGGAAACAAATGAAAACAGAGCAGGAAATATGAGGGCATATTCAATATGCTGACATGAAACTAATGCCCACTGACCTTTGTAATAATGCTTTGTTTTTTATTCCTGTACATTCCAGACACATGCTAGAGGACAGATGTAAGTGCCTAGGAAGCTTCAAGCCTATTAGGTGCAAAATAACTAATGAGGCAACTAATTAGAAATTCTCAGATAAGAAATTAAAGTCAGTTATTTTCACATATTTAGAGTTGCTAGCAAGATTCTGATTCTGCACATTGCTGGATAATAGGTTTCCATTATTGTAGCACATACTGAGCTTGAAGGTGGTAGTCTGAAAATTACATCAAGTTATCTAGACAGGTTTCCTTTTACACTCTAATAATCTTTCATTACAGATTATATTCCATTAGCCTCATAGCAGACTACAGATACTGTAAATAGACTTTTGGTAAAGACTGAACTATGTCTTATACTTATTTTGAGTTCTGCATTCCTCTTCCCCACCACCCAACCCTGTAGGAACGGGTGTGCCTTTCCAAGCACTATCCAAACAGTTCATAAGTACTTTATTTTATTTTTTTATGAGCCTGTACTGTGTGCTGCAGCTGGAGCTGGGCAGTGATGAGGCCCTGGTTCCTGCTCCGTGGCAGCCATGTTGCCTGGCACGTGAGGCTGTATGGTGGGCAGCTGCTCCAGTGGCTGGACTGATCCGGGGTGGCTAGGCCATGTGGCAGAGTGGAGCTGCTCCTCCAGGGTAAGGAGTGAGATTGTGCTTTTATCAGGCATTTCTTTGGCTTTTAGTGTTTTTTATACTTCACCCCTCATGACTGGTTGCTGTACATTATCTCAGGAGAGGAGCTGAGATGGACTGTCCTTCAAGTATGCACTCATATATTAAACTCCCACTCTACCAACACCACATTAGCGCGCTCATCTCTTTCCACACAATCTGCTTGGGGGCAGGTGTAATGGGCAGTGTCTTTCTATTTTGCTCACACATACTAGTAAGGAGAAAATTTTAAAAATCAAACCCCAAATTTTCTCTCAGGCTAACAGACAGATCCATCTGCTAACAGTTACTTGAAACCTTCTGACAAGGGTGTGTTTTTATGTAACTTCTCAGTGTATGCCAGAAACATAACACCCAGCCATGCAGCATAGATGCTATTGGTCAGGGCAGAGGAGCAAGAACATAGTTTGGGGGAGGAAGATGGCAAGAATAGTGAGCAAAGGGTCTAATTTAAGATGGCTACAGTGAGACATCTGCCCTCTGAGGAGTTTTGGCAGTGACTCGCTAAAACCAACCTCAAGTAAAAGGCAATTCCTCACCCTCACACCCTTTGTTCTAACCCCTCTCCATTCAATTCTGCCCTTTCTTTCTTCCCTAGGTTTAATCCTTTCCTAAGCACTCCCTTTTCCCTCCAAGTTTCACTTTCCTCTCTCCCTTCATGCAGGGATGCTCACTTCTGTACCCTGATGTCCCCATCTCTTCTGCAGTCTCACCTTGTAGTGCTTGTTGTCAGGACCCTGTTGCTATGCCATGGGTTTGTCCACTTCTGGCATAGCAGCAGCCATAATCCTCCAGACCGGATTCTCCAATGCCTTGTAATCATCTTCACTAGTGCAAAGTGAGATTAAAGTGGTTTCAGTCTGATTTGGTAGCATTTTGCACTCTTTTCAGTGGCATCCAGACTCCACAAGGTGCTAGGCAATGGAGAATTAGGCTCTGTGTTTAAAACACCTACAGAATTTGTATTTAACCTAACAATGCCAGACAGTGTGAATTCATAACTAAGGCCTCTAACACAATAGGTGCATCTCCAATACTAATGAATACACTTGATAACTTTCTTTCATTCTACCTGAATGTTAATACGTGGGAGACTAAATGAAATTTGGAAATTGTGATGACTATTTGAATACTTCCTTGAAACAAATACATTGTTTTGAAAAGGGTGGGCTTATTCTTAAGGACAGACCTACGTCCTGCTCCAAATTCCGGCCCTTTAAAGACAAGCATTATGATATGTGTAGTCTCTAGAAGGACGAAATGAACGTGGGCAGCTGGGAAGAGGGAAGCTATATAAAAGGCAGGTCCTGGTTCTCAGTCAAAGAAGAGGATGACTTAGATTGTGTTTTGACCTCGGTTGCCTGAGAAATGGATGTTTCTGGGTTTGACGGGAGGACCGAATTGTCAAGACAGCAGAGCAGCCAACAGTAGAATGAGGAGAAACTTGCAGAACCTGATGAGTGAAAAGCAAGCTACACAGTAATGTAAGCTGTCATTTAGGAAGGCAGTGAACCTCAAAATGTAGGATTTATTTGAGTGGGCATGAGTCTTGTTACAAGTGTTTCCCACAGCTCTAGTGTTTGTCATATTATATATGTATAGACTGAGCTTGAAAGGAGACTAGATGATCATAATGGTCCCTTCTGACCTTAAAGTCTATGAGACATTCAAGACTTGGCATAATGACAGTTAATGCAGTCATAGGAAAGCTTTTCCTTAGGCCAGATCTAATTAAGCAAATGCTTGACTTGAATCTACTGTGCCTGATAGAACCAGCAAGTGTATTCAAATACTACATTTGCAGTCTTTCACCACTGATATCACCAAACTTGTGTCCTCATTTGTGTCCTGCACAAGCTCAGAAATGTTCTCCTGAAAGGGCAATTAACGTAGTTCACTAAAAGGAGAGCCATATTTAACAGAGGAGGAAGCCCAGCTGACGGAGGGCCTGGGAGGGTACATCTACACTTGCCCCCTATCCCACGATAGAGATGCAAATGTAGCCGACCGAAATTGCTAATGAAGCGGGGATTTAAATATCCCATGCTTCATTAGCATAATCTCACCCGCATAATCTCACCCACAAATTATTCCGATCATCAGCTGGTTCGAACCAGGAAGTGCGCTCTGGGACGCGTTAGTTTGAATCAAACCCCTTGGTTCGAACTAACGTTACTCCTTGGAGGAGTACTCCTTGAGGAGCAACGTTAGTTCGAACCAAGGGGTTTGATTCTAACTAATGCGGCCCAGAGCATACTTCCTGGTTCGAACCAGTTGGTGATCGGAATAGCGTGCGGGTGAGATTATGCTAATAAAGTCTGGGATATTAAAATTCCTGCTTCATTAGCAATTTCGGTCGGCTACATTTGCATCCCTATCTTGGGATAGGGAGCAAGTGTAGACATACCCGGAGAGTGTTATAGACAGGGGAAGTTGGTTACTGAAACTTTTGCAGTATAAATTTTATGGACTTCATATTAAATAAACTTTTAAAATCATGCACCTTGTTAATTATCCCTTGTTTTAGTATTTTCTTCCATAACATGTATATCTTACGTTTTTTAAATGTTGATAACTTGGGTGCCACTTGGGTGCCACAGATCCAAACAAGAACACATGACCTCAATATTGGTGCACAGGACAAAACTCATTCTGCTCATGGATGGAAAAATCTTAGAGGGAACACTAGTTATGATCTCATTTAAAATTGTATATACACCATGTATGCAAAACATTTCAAGCCCCATCCCACCAACTGAATTGTACATTGCTCTTTCTTACTAGAATGATAAATACACAAATTGGCCTCATCCTGATCTGTTGGGGGACTTGAGCAAGGGTAGCTGCATTTTGGCCTAAATTCACTTTCAAGGCAAGCAGTGCACAAAATGCCATCAGCACTGACGATGACAGTCACCAGTGACAGGTTTTTCTTAATACAGAATGCAGTATGGAATCCACAATGAGGCAGATGCACAAACAAGCAATTTCTCAGGATACTGGACAATAAAAGTATATATGTTCTTTTTTTGCGCTTCTACATACCGTAGTTTGAACTGTGACCGCACCTCTCCATGTTCTATTTGAATCAATTCATTGTAACAAGCAATTATGTTGCTATTCTCCATAAATCTCTGGAAAAGAATCAGAGGCAGTAAATGAAGTAGGTCTCATTACTTTTAAACCCTTATTTATACTTCTGTGCTTAAAGCACTAATCTTTTGAATCTTTTGTGACGGAATCTTTTCCACTGTATTGATTTTTTAATTGTCAAGATAGCAGAGCATATTATCTTACTTGCTTTGTACATTAGTAGGCAAAGTAACTACACTTTTTTTTGTTTGGTTTTAGGAACCCAGTTAAACAGATAATTATAAAAACCAAAAACCTGATCCAGAGCCTATATTGCGAGGACTTTTCATTTTCCGTGCCCATCCCTTAATTCTGAAAAAAAACTGGAATTCTTGAGAAACATTTACAATTTTCACTTTAATATTTCTAGGGGGCTGTGCCCCCTGCTTGCAATGCTCGCCAACCCCCCCTCAGTCTGCCGAAGCCGGATCATTGCCTCTCTTCCTACTATCGCAGAAGGGGGGCCACCACCAGCTCTGTGTGGCCTGCCCCAGTATTGGGGTTGGAGACAGGACACTGCAGCCAGATGGAGGCTGTGCCCCCAACTGGGGGCTTGTTGGACAGGCTTTATTTTTAATGAAAGTAAAATATTATATCCAACACAAAAAGGTTTGAATGTTGTCTTTATTAATGGCCGGGATGGGGAACCTCTTTTGGGATGGGGGTCACTGGCCTACAGAAAGTCAGTTGGGGACCACACAAGCGAGAAGGAAAAAAGCTCTTGCAATCCCGCCCCCCAACCCTCATTGATGTGGCCCCCAACTGAAACACCTCACTCCCCTGGCGCTCTAACCCCAGGCAGGAGATTGGGGGGGAGGGGAACGGAGGTGCAAAGCCTCAGGCCAGATTCACTCTTCAGGGTTAGTGGATTTTGTGAGCCCCCTAGGCTCTGTGGTGGGGCCAAAGTGAGGGGTTCAGTGCATAGGACAGGGCTGCCAGTGAGTGCGACAGTGATGGGAGTGCAGGATCTGGGCAGGAGGTGGGGTGTAGGGGAGGCTGAGGTGTGAGGTCTGGCCAGGTGGGGAGGGGGCAGAAGCAGGTTGGGGAGGCAGGGTGGTGACTGAGGGGGCTGGTCATGAGGGAGTGGGGGGCACTTACTTGTCTTTGGACCCTGCACCAGTCCACGGCTCAGCCTCCCGCTGCTCCCATTAGGCAGAATATGGCCAATGGGAGTGCAGGGCTCTCTCCTTCACTTACCTCTCCCCACGCAGTGAGGCTCAGGGCTTTCTCTCCTCCACCCCACACCTCCCCCTGCAGGGGGAAGCAAGCACTGGTGCTCCAACCATGCAGGGGAGGAAGGAGGGCGATGGGTTGCAGCATCAGGCAAGGGGGGCCCGAGCCACTCAGGTCAGTGTTGCCGGGCACCGCTTGCTGCTGCAGTCCTGCCTGTGACTGGGCCAGCAGGTGGGAGGGAGGCTGTCTGGGGGGTGGGCTTGGGTCTCAGCAGAGCAGCTCGGCACTGGGCTGAGGACATGGCTTCTTGGGGTGTGGCGGAGGATGGGGTGGCTGGTGATGCGGGGCTTCCCCTTGCCTAGTGCTTCTCTTGAGCCTGCTGGCCCAGCAGCCCATGAGCAGCAAGAACGCTTAGAGGCCTGCACAAACAGACAAATTCAGGACTCTCTCTGGCCTTCCACTTGATACCAAGTAAACTCACAGGAAGTAGGAAGCTAGTCTATGTCTGGTCTCACTGAGATCCAAGCAACTCCTCAGCATGAGTATGGCTGGTAGAACCTGTCTTAAAAGAATGCTTGAAGTACTGAGCACACTGATAAAGGCCAAGAAAAAGAGGAAAGAGAAAGGTCCACCTCTACCCCTCAGCAAATCTAGCATCCAGTCTCGCTTCCACTAAAGTCTAGAGAGTTTTGTCTTGACTAAAAGGGGAGAAGAATTTGGTTCTAACTTCAGTTATAGTGAACTGCTGAATGGTGAAACTATTGGAGAAGCTCAGAAACAACCACTTTATAAATGCCTGCACAGATTTTCTTGTGTTCTCCAGAGAACTAGTTAGCTTTGAGGAAGGGACACAGCTGGACTGAGAGCAAGCAGCCAGTACTTTGAAAGACATCCAAAGGTCCTTTTTAGAAGCAGCTGTACACATTCATACCATGCTACATACTCTCTTTTTCTTTACAGAAATAGCAATGTGTCACTATATACGCATTCATCTTAAGCTGTCAGCAATAAAGCAATTTCCTCTCAGATTTTGATCTTTAAAAATCTATTGGTACAGCTCTGTTCAATCCATAACGTTTTAAAATCTTATTAAATGGCACCATGTTGAGAGCTGTATGAATATTTTAATATGCTACTGAATACCTACACAGTGCAAAAACAAGAAAAATGTACACTTTGTAGAAGTTCAACCTCAGTCTGTGCAGTATTGTCACACGAGGATACAATGCTGAAGAAAAAAGTCAGAATCAGCACCCATGAAAACAATTGGCAGGAAGGGAAGGGACATCCATGGAAGGGACGTCCATGTGGACCAGGAAGGGACATCCATGTGGAGAAAGAGACACATTCTGTTTGGCTATGGATGAGTAGCAGATTTATGCAATTAGTCCCTTAATATAATCATAACACTTTTGGATATAAAAGGAAATCAGCACAAACATGAAACAGCAAAAAGTATAGGGGGGGGGGAAGATACCGGAGACCTTTGGAGGTATTTTACCCAAAGGTGCAAGAATGGAAAGCAATAGGTTTGGGTGACTTGGTTTCAATCTATCAGTCTACAGAATATGAAAAAAAAGGTACCAGGCCACTTCATGAAACAACAAAAATAACTCCTAAAAAAAGTGACTGTCCCTATATTCAGTCCAGAAGATTTTCTGTCACTGTAGCAGCTATGCACAAAATTACTCAACTTTATAGGAACCAATCATAGAATCTAACAAAACCCCAAAAGAAGAGATTCAGGAATTCCATTTGAACCAATAATTTAAAAGTCACTTAAATCCCAAGTTTCAGAGGGGCAATCGAGTTAGTCTGTTACAGGAAAAACTTAAACGAAAAGTCTAGTAGCACATTAAAGACCAACAAAACATGTAGATAGTATCATGCGCTTTCATGGGCAGAACCCACTTCTTCAGATGACTGGAGTATTGGAAGTCCAGATCAAGAATAAATAAGGAAAAGGGGAGGGAAGGAGGAAAAAGGGAGAGAGAAAAGAAAAAAAAGAGACAGTGAGTTGATTGTCAAGTCGTTACAAGAGGCCAACAACAATGGGCACCTCCATTGTTTGGTTGCTTGGTTAAGTCATTAGGATGTGGAAGGTAGTGTGCGAGTCAGCCGATGTCTCTGTTCATTCCATTAAGATTAAGAATTAAACCTGTAAATTAAGTTACGTTCCAACCCTTCCCTGAGTATTTGGCTTGTGGAATTGGCCTGAAACAGGTTGACTTGGAGATCCATTAATGAGTGCCCAGGCAGGTTAAAGTGTTCTCCAACAGGTTTCTGTATACAGGCAGTCCCCGGGTCACGTACAAGATAGGGACTGTAGGTTTGTTCTTAAGTTGAATCTGTATGTAAGTCGGAACTGGCGTCCAGATTCAGCCGCTGCTGAAACTGACCGCCAGTT